ATCTCGGGCTGCTCGGTGTGTGATTGAACTATCAAACGACAATGGGCTCGTCTGCCCCCGTCCTGAGCAGGCTGGAGATGTTTCAGCAGATGACAGTCACGTCTCTGCAGTGCTGGAGGGAATGATTCATTCCCAGGGCTTGCTGGGTCCCTGGAAGGAGGCAGGAGGGATGTTCTGTTAAACTGTGACTAGTGCAGGAGGGAAGGGGTTTTATATCAGCTCCCGAAGCACCGAGTTCTTGAACTGGGACGATCCTTTATGGTGATAATTCCTTTCCCTGGGATGTGATGAAGGTTCAGAGGTGTGTCCTGGTTGTGTTCCGTGCAGGTATCGAGGGATCATTTACTCCTACGAGTTCTCAGGGGAGCAGCTGGCAGGGGACAGTGTCCTCCCCATCTGCCGCTCGTCCTACGACGAGCTCGCGGGCTACAACTACAACATCGGCCTGGCCGTGCCCTACGACAGCATTTAGGGACTCCTGGGCTGCTGGGGGCCAGGCAGGACAACATCCACGTGGGACAAGCACCTCAGAGGGGGTGTTGGCTGCGGGACAACGGGCTGGGATTCGCCAAAACGTGGGGATAGGAACCCAAAGAGTTCAAGGCTGCCCTGGAGCGTATCACTGAAACGTGGTGCTGCTCAGAGGTCCACCCTGCTGGAGGGGAGAGTGAAGATGAAGGGGAACATCACACTGCGGGGTGAACCAAAACCCTGCTGCCTGTGGGAAGGATGCTGCTGGTCCCACCTGGGCAGAGGGACACGGTCAGGAAGCCAGAGGGGCACAGTGTGAAGGGTGGGAGCACACTCAGGAGCTCCTGCCTGCCCTGAGAGGGGGAAAAAAACCCACCAGGAACTTGGGGGAAGCTCGTTGCTGAGCCTCATGTTTGTTATCCTGTCCTGGTAACAAGCTGCTCGTGCTTGTTTTCCTTGGAATGCACTGGAATGTGTCAAGGAACAGGACCATGCACAAAAGGTTGGGAGAGGGGAGGGTGATGGAGAGAGGGAAGGGAAGGTTGGCCCCAGGCCAGACTGGATGCTTGGGAACTCAGCAGGCCACACACATCAGAATGATTTTAAAATGAATTATTTTTTTAAATCCTCTAAAATTCTGGATTAAATATTTTTTAATTGTCTGCGTACACGTGTCTCTGGAGTTTTGTTCCTGAGTGAACCAGGGTGAACCAGCCCCCTGCACTGGAACAAAGGGCTGCCATGGCTCAGGTGTGTTCTTTGCTGGATCAGGGAGGGTTTTCTGATGCTCCCAAGCTGGGAATTGAGCCTGAAACACAAGGGATGAGCTGGGCACAGTGCCCCTGCCTGGGGTTGAGAAGCCCCCAGGCTGAAGGTGCACTCACCTGAAACCCAGGCTGCACTGGCACAGGGAAAACCAGTTTGTAGAACAAGAGCCCCAGCCCTGGATCTGTTTTACTCCTTTAAAACTGTTCTGTGGTTGTGATTTGTCCTTGGAAACTTCCTGGTGCAAACCAAAGCCATGCCAATTCTGTTTCAGCTGAGGTTAAGTTTTAACTTAACATCTTTTTTACTGAATTAATGGAATGGATGTAAAAGTGCCAGGGAGGGGTGAAGGAATGTGCCCAAACCTGCAGGAGAGGGGCTGGGCTGTCACTTCAACCTTTCTCCAGTCACTGGAGAGCTTCCTGCTGCCCTCCTGCCTGGAGAGCAGCTTTTCCTTCTTTGCCTTGGGGTGGTTTTCCATGACCCCTAAGCCAAATTTCTCATGGTTTTGATTTTTAACACTTGGCTTTTTCCTTGTGATGGATAACAAGCAGTGCAAGAGGCAAAGTCATTCTGTCTGACCAATAAATAAAGCTTTGGTCTCTCTTTTTTTTTTCTTCTTCTTTCTGGGAAGCCAACTCCCTCCCTCCATTCCTGGAAGATCAAGCAGTGTCCCGGATACACAGTTGGGATGAGAGTTCTGCAGAAACCTGACAAATTTCTGCAGCATAAATGATTTTGGGGGGTTACTTCAGCCTTGTGACTCCTGATGTGCTGAGCAGAGAGAGTTTCCATGCTGTTCTCCTCCCTCCTTGCCCCAGCCCTTGGCTTGTTCCCACTCTGACCCTCCTTATCTTGCTCTGTTATCTCAGGACAGCTTTGTTCTCTCTTGCTCTCCCTGCTGCAAGGAGCAGATAAGTTGGTGCTGTGCCCAGGTGTCCAAGCCCTTTTCCTGGAGTCCACCTGCACATTCCTGCTCCCTGCTTCTCCCTGTCCTCCTGCACTGCCCCATCCTTGAGCCGACAGGAGGGGGATGCTTTGCACACCTGCCTGTGGAATGTTTGCTTCCTTAGGCAGAGCAGCCCTGCAAGTCACCAATTCTTTGGTCACCAACCCATCCTGATCCTGGGAGGCTTGTGTCACCTCCAGTGGGGAAAGGAATTCCCTCTTTCCTTGGTTCATGCTCCGGGTGCAGCTCCTCCGGGTGGGTCCCAGGCTGGTCCTTTGGGTCTGTTTTCCCTGTGTCTGGAATTCACTGAGGAGGTTGCAGCACAGCAGAAGGTGGTGTGTGCATTTAACTGGCATTCCTAATGCAAATGAGGGCACTCAGGCTGTTGGAGAGTATCCGTGTGGGGAGCTGAATTGTCTTTGTGAAAAGGGCTGTTGTCCCACTTCCCTGGGTGCTGGAGTGGTGCTGGAGTGGAGCAAGCACGGCCTGGGCTGCTCAGGCTGGGCTCGGGGGACATTTAGATGGAGCCTCTTCCTTAATTTCAAGAGCAGGAATGGAGCCACCATCCTGTGTTTGTGGGGAGTGATGCCACCTTTGGGCTTCCCATCTGGGGACTCCTGGTGCCCAGTGCAGGTTGGGAGGGCAAAGCTGAGCCCAGAGTTGTGTCAGACAAGGGTGGTCACTGGGAAGGGACATCTCTGCTGGTTTTGGCTCCTGGAGTTGAGGAGCTGCAGTCAGGACATGTTGGGCCAGGTTGGACTGACCTGGCAGGGGCTGGGCTGAAGGTGGAGGCTCACACTGGGCTCATGTGCCAGCCTGGTGACCCTCAGCCAGGCTGGGTAATCGGGGACAGCTAAAAATCCAAAGGCATCCGAGGAGGAAATAGTTCAGGGGGGAAAAAGCCTCCAGAACAACTGCTGGTGTCTATTGTTGGTGACAGTGACCCTCAGCTAAAAAGAAGTGTCTGTTCCCTCCTGAGAAGGATCTCTGCTCCAAAGGGAATCCGAGATCAAAGGGGAGCTGTCTGTGCTCAGCCCCGGAGCTGTGCCCGCAGGGTGCTCAGCACAACGGGAAGGACAGGGCAGGACGTGCTCAGCTGTGCTGGAAAATCCGCCCTGGAAAATCCCCAGCTGCCCCTCCACTCATTCTGGGGCCAACCCACTAGCAAAGGCCCCCAGAAAGTGCTTTTTGCCTCTGTTTGGTGACCTTGGCAGTGGGGGAAGGGTGATTCCAGCATTTTGGGGGCTGCCATCCCTCTCCTGATGCTGAGGAGCGGTGGGAGAGGAGCAGTGGGTGCTCTCTGTGCAGAGAGGGACTACAGGGGTCTCTGCCTCGAGCAGCACCTTCCCCTCCCACCCTCTGGCCTTTCCCACTCGGCCTCTGCTCTTCTGCCCCTGCCCACCTCTGTCAGTCCCTGTTCCAGCTGCTGTCAGGGAGGGGTGGATGTGTGGTGCCAATGTGCCCAGGTGGTGCACAAAACACTTGGCTTTGCCCTCTCTGCCCCCCCTTGTCTTCCAGTGATGTTTGGCCACTCATTTCCACCTTCTGTGGATGGTCCTAAAACCTTCACCTACATTTTGGGCAGTGCTGGGGTCCTCCCAACCCCTCCCAGTCCCTGGGACCTCTGAGTCCAGTCCCTGCTGCCAGAGGGGAAGATGGGGCGGCAGTGGTTGAAGTACTGATGGATTATGGAGCAGAACTCAGTGGGAAAGGGCCTATTCCAGGTCAGGATTTGTGCCACTGGCAGATTTATGGCCAGAAATGTGGACCTTCAGCCTCTGGGCCAAATGCCTCTTCATGGGAGAGCTGCTGTGTCAGCTCTGCCTCAGACGGTGCCACTGGAAGGAACGAGGAGCTCCTCAAAGTTTGGCTCACAAACATCAGCTGCAAGGGGCTGCCCCACTCCCTGGCTGTGGGCTCTGTGCTGCCTCCTGTTCTCCTGCTCCTCCCACCCTTCCTGGGCAGGTGTCCCCTGTGTGCTGGTCTCTCCTGCCTTTCCCAAGCCCCACTGTGGCTGACAGGTGGGTGGGGATGGTGAGATGAGTGTTGCTCGTGGGGCACTGTCTGTCCCCACCCTGCAGTCCTGGGGGTCACCCAGCCCTGCTCTCCAGACCCAGGAGCTGCTGCTGTCTCCAGTGCTGCTCAGCCTTTATCAGCCTTCCCAGAGCTTCAGTTTTCCAGTTCCCCTCTGCTGACCATGGCTGGGATCTGCCACAGAGCTTTGGGCCTCCTCACAGGGCTCAGCATCTCGGCCCCATAGCAGAACTATCATCCTTCATGGAAGGCTCTGGGCTTTGCTGTGGGCTGCAACAGAGGCCTCTCCCTTGCCAGGTTCCCCAGGGCTCTGCCAGATTTTCCAGTGATTCACAGGATTATTATCCTGGGGTTTGCTGTTAACACCAACCCTGGGTTGTGCTTCCCTGGCTTTCCTCTGGCACAGGAATGATGCTCCTGCCCTGGAGGATCCGTTCCTAAGGACCAGGCCTTCAGCATCAGCCACTGCTGGGGTGAGGATCAGGCTTATCTTCCCTGGGCCCTCCCTTCCCACTCTCACCTCCCTCCTGCTCTCCACCTCATCCCATTTCCTGCAGAGGGTTGTGTTGGCTCCAGCCTCTGCTTCCCGCAGTCCCTGCTCCCACACTTTCCACACCACCCCACAAAATACCTGGGGACAGCTCAAGGGGTAATAATTATCCTCTTACCAATACTCTTCAGTCCTCCTGCCCTCTACTTCCCTGCACTGCATGGTGTACCCAGCCCAGGCTGGCATGGAATCCTTTGGATGTCTTCTCCCAGGAAACCAGCATGGAGGGGCAGTGGGACCACGACCTGTCAAACCCTGCAATCCCAGCAACATCAAAGGCTCTTCCCAGCACAGACAGCCCCTCTGGGAGATCCAGGGGTGGAAAAGGGCCTGGACTGTGACCAGGAGCATGGAACTTGCAGCTGGTTCAGGGAGTGTGATGGTCCTGCAGTGTCTGTGTGGAAATTCCAGTGAGAAAACAGGGAAAGGAGCCTGGGTTGACTCCTGAAACCTGGGGATTTTGGGAGGAGCTGGATGTTGTGCCCTAACGTTTGTGGGGTGGGAAGGGAGCACAGAGGGGGTGGTCCAGGGAGGAGGAGGATGAGAGGTGCCCTGGATTGTGCCACTGTGGTGCTGCCGGGCGTGAGGCAGGGATAGGGGGTGTCCAGAGGAGCTGGAGGAGAGCAGGACTGGAACTCCAGAGCCCTACAAACACAGACCAAGCTGTGGGGCAGCCCTGGGGCCCCTCAGGGCCTGAATGGCTGTGTTGGAACAGCCGGGAGCTCCACCACTGCCATCCCCTCCCACACCCTGGTGCTCAACCCCTCTGGCAGCACCGGCACCAACCCTGCTCCCACACCCAGCCCAGGTCCAGCACCAACCCTGGCTCTGACAACCCAGCCCAGGCCCAGCACCAACCCTGCTCCCAGCACCCGGCCCAGGTCCAGCATAATGTGCCAGCACCACAACACTTCAACCAACACCTCGGGTGCCACAGCGCTGTCCCACAGCTTTGGGAGACGCCCAGCTGGGTGTGGTGGCACTGAGAGACCCAACTAGGTTTGGCACTGGGACACCCAGCTGGGTGTGGTGGCACTGGGACACCCATCTGAGTGTGGTGGCACTGGGAGATCCAGTTGGGTTTGTGGCACTGGGACACTCAGCTGGGTGTGGTGGCACTGGGACACCCAGCTGGGTGTGGTGGCACTGGGACACCCAGCTGGGTGTGGTGGCACTGGGACACCCAGCTGAGTTTGGTGGCAGTGGGACACCCAGCTGGGTGTGGTGGCACTGGGACACCCAGCTGAGTTTGGTGGCACTGGGACACCCAGCTGAGTTTGGTGGCACTGGGACACCCAGCCGGACGTGGGGCATTCCCAGCGTGGAGCTGCAGGACGGGACCGGCTCCATCCCCAGGTGTGCCCCGGGCT